AAATTCATAAGACATTTTTCTGTAATCTCTAGATGACTTCCAATGAAATCATTACAAAGACAAAATGTAAAGAAGTAAGTGAAGTTCAATTAGAAATACCAAGGACATATCACAGAACACCCATTAGAGTGTACTATCAACAACAACAAAAACACAAACAAACAGAAAATAATGAGAATTGGTGAGGAAGTTGAGAAATTGGAAACTTGTACACTATTGGAGGGAATATAAAATGATGCAGTCAATATGGAAAAAAATGTATGGCAGTTCTTCAAAAATTAAAATTGAGTTACCACATGATGTAGAAACTCTGCTCCTGTGTATACAACCAAAAGAACTGAAAGCAGAGTCTCAAAGAGATATTTGCACATCCATGTTCATAGCAGTATTATTTACAATAGACAAAAGCTAGAAGCAATGCTGTGTCCACTGATGGATGAACAGATAAACAAAACGTGTTATACATATATCCAACAGAATATCAGTGAGCCTTAAAAAAGGAATTCTTACACATGCTACAACATGGGAGAAGTTCCATGGGACTATTATGCTAAGTGAAATAAATCAACTACAAAAAGACAAATACTGCATGATTCTACTTATGTGAGATTTCCACAGAAGTCAAAATCATAGACACAGAAAGTATGACAGTAGTTGCCAAAGACTAGAAGACGGATGGGGAGTTACTGCACTGCAGTTCTGTAAGATGAAAAATTTCTAGGGATCGACTGCCTAACAGTCTGTGTATACTTCACATTACTGAACCATACAATTAAAATTGGTTGAGATAGTGAATTTTATGTTATTTTTATTTTATGACAATTAAAAGAAATACTGAGAAAACGGACAAGAAAAAGTATTTCTTGATCCATACATAATTTATCTAGGAGTCAGAATTAAGATCTATTTGATCATCCTATTTTATAAATCACAAGAGGTTATAAATTGGTAATATATTTTCAAAATCTGGATATCACTGAAACAATTTAAAATATACTGAGTAACATAAAGGGGGAAAAAAGAGAAGACTTACATATCTGTCAGGTTGTACAAAATTCTCAAAGAATATAAACTTTCCCTGTTTGACTACAAAGAAAATTACTAGTATCCTGCATTATAAATTACATTTCTAGTGTCAAGAATTCTGCTATGAATTAAACTACTCTTCCTATTTCTGACTTACATAACACGTATCTACGATGGTCCTAAACTTTTTTTTTTTTAAGATTTTATTTATTTATTTGACAGAGATCACAAGTAGGCAGAAAGGCAGGCAGAGAGAGAGGAAGGGAAGCAGGCTCCCTGCTGAGCAGAGAGCCTGATGTGAGGCTCTATCCCAGGACCCTGGGATCATGACTTGAGCCGAAGGCAGAGGCTTTAACCCACTGAGCCACCCAGACGCCCTAAGGATTTCTGCAAATTAAACAAGACACACCCACCTATACCACGCACAAAATCGGCATAAACACAGTGAATAGCACAAACAGGTTTTCAATTCTGTTAGCCCTTTTCATTCTTTAGTTATTTTTCCTCTTTTGATACTTAAACAGCTTTAATAATTTCTATAAATGTTTCTGAGTTCAAATAATTATTTCTGTTAAATGGTATATAAGGAAGCAATAAGAAACTGAAAGTATAAATATGGTAATATGTTTTACTTTTCATCTTCAGCATACATTCAACGGGGATTTAAAAGTATTTTTGAGAATTACCTCTACAAAGAACACAACTAAATATAACTTAAAGAACGTTATATACAGTAATTCATTTGCACATAAGTCAACTCTCTAGCATAAATAACGAGAAGCAGCATAAATGATTTTTGGAATTTAAATAGCATGCATCCCTTAACTTAAAGAGAAAAAAATTTATGTTATCATGCTAGAGAATAACTTCCTATATGTATAAAAAGTATATATCACATTGGATATGTTTTTAATATGGTGAAACATCAAGTTAAATTTGACAATGCTTTTCAATTTGCCATTGAGAAACCACAAGTAAAACAAGAGGTCTTACAGCACAACCGAACCTATTATACACACAGCAGAGGAAATCAGTCTTAAAATACTTAAAATCATAAACACAAGATGAACTTTTAAAACAGATAAAATTGTTCATTTTGAAATTTAACACTCATGCAAATTAGTAATTCAAACAAATCCTTAGACACATTCATCAGCAAGAAATGAATGTCAAAATCCTCTACTTGGTCTTTCACTTAACACCTGTAGGAGTGCTATAGAAAAAATTATTCTTAGAATAACTACCAAAGAAGAGAGCTTCTTAGGTATCCCCTTTACCTCAATCTTCCCACAAATCACATGCTGCTCTCATTATTAAAACAACTCAAAATTTAGTAGTAAGGCCAGAATATCTTTCTTAGGGATTCACAACTTTCTCATCTTTTTCTCTCATGGCATCCATCCATCATGTTCTTATAACATAGGTCACTCAGTTCATTCAAACCCTGTAATTAGTTTTACCATACAATGGAAGCAAAATCTTGGGGTCTGTAGTATACACAGTCTAGATGAATGACAGAGGGCATATCACACACAGATTTAAAAGTATCAATTAATCACTTTTTGTTCTGCCTTCTCATTCTCCTCTGAGGCTATTAACCCTTAAAACTTCATTCACCTATAGACACACACTCACACAGACACACATACCACATTTGACTTGTTTTTGTTTTTTTTACTTTGCCCACATAGTATATAAACTACTTGGAGTGTCAATACTGACCAGATAGCCTGGCTTCTCTTCAGCTTATTTTTTCCTTCTCTCTTTATCCTGTCTTCCTTTTGAATAGCCTTAGCAATTGTAATACTTAATTTTTCTTTACACATCAACTCCTTTCAGAATTAGCAGCTCAGGAATCTGGAGTATTTATCAAATGCCAGTTATTTCTTTAAGCAGCAGATTTTTTTACTGTAAAGACATTATTATTTCTGACATATTTTCAACTCAATGTTGCAACACAAACAATTCAGCTCCATATAGACCCATGAAGTATACATGAATCAATGAACAAATAGTAAAGATTTTTGTCAGGAGTTTGGGACAGAAGAGAGGTAAATGACTTTAAGAAAAATAATCCATACTCATGAGGTATGTACTAAGTGAATATTGTTGTAGAATAATAAGTCAGAATAAAATATTTCCCTTCATAACAACAGGAAAAAAATACATTAATTTCTACATTAGGCATTTCTTTCCTTTAAGAATTTTGCTAAGGAAGAAATACATTGCTAAAATATGAATGAGTCGTTAATAGCACATTTTGACAACTCTTAATAAAAAAAGTTCTTTCAAAGTGGTAAAGGCAAAAACAAATTCTCACTAAATTCTTATATTCAAGACTAATGCCAAGTTAAGAGAATGATGCTAAAGTAAGATATCTGGTATTCCAAAACACTCGGAATTTTCTCCAACCCATACAGTAGTGATCTCAGGGAAGTTTTCTTTCAAATACTAAGATAAAATTTAAAATTTACTGCTAGGTTGCATAATGAATGCATATTCTACATTCTGGGAAAAAGTACCAAATTCTCTCAAAACACTATAACTCATTGTTATAATCAATTATTCAAGTACAGTTCTCCATAGCTTTTATATCATTAATGTCCAGATGAGCACATTTTTCCCACAAAGACTACATAATACAGATAAATAATACTGTGGGACCAAAAATATACCTTCAAATCATACAATAATGGAATAACTTATGTTATTCATTCAAATGGATGAAATCTTTCAAAAACAATTATAAAGTTTCCTCCTATATCTATAAGGGAAACAGAATTCTTCATGCAAATAAATGTTATTTGGCATTAATTTAATGGGAACATTTATATCAAGTTAAAAAACAGTTATATTATTGATTAAATATTTATAGGACTGAAAGGACAACTGTCAATTTTCAGTAGAATAAAGAATAAAGTAGAATAAAGAATATTGACATTCCTTTTGAGTGAGGAAAAGAGAAACAGATTAATAAAAAAATTGGGAGAACTGAGTTTACAAGTTCATTTCTAAATTCATTATATTAGAAACTTTAAGATTCAGTTATTTTCAAGATTCTGTATCTTGTGACTACATTTTTTTAAATGACTGGGAATTCATTAAAGAATCAATATCCTTCAGATTCAACACATCCTTGTGTTTTATTCCTTGTAAATACTCAATGAATTACTAGTAAAACGTGTGGGAGTGTACATTATATATGATGTGAAAGACTGATTTCCTGTTATATTTTACTGAATGCATTACATACCTCTTTTAAGAAAGCACCTGCCAGCACTCCATTTTCTTTTTTCTGCTGCCTAAAGCTTAACTATTGATTTTTTTTTTAATAAAAGTGATTTTATCATGAGGGTATGTTCATATGGAAGGTAGGATGCATAATTTATAGTAAATATTAAATTATAAAAAATTAACTCATAAAATAAAAATAGAAAGTGACATTATTAAGAATATGAAAAATTGAGTCCTATGAAACTTTTCAAAAATTTTTGTTTATAAAACTTTCTAATGTAAAATATCAAATGTATCCTAAATATTCAAGTATATTATAATTATTTTATATTTATAATTGTACTTATAAATATTATAAGTTATCAAAAAGCTTAAAATTGATGTGAACAAATTTAATTGACCCTTTCCCAGAAAATGAATTACTCATCATCTTCTCTACCCAGTATCTACTGCCACAGTGGAAAGATATCATCAGCCATTAGTAAAGACTCCTTGAAAGTTGATCATTAGTCATAATGCTAATATGACTATTATCTTCTTCTAATATCTCTTCTATTTCTAAAAATAAACTATTCTATACCTTCATTTCTATTGAAACTGTTGAATGTCCTTCATTATACATAACACAAATTGTTAGAAAAGAAAAACTTACTCGATGTTAAATTAGTTCTCAGTTATAAATCTTTTGAAAATGTCACACTTATCAAAATTGTGCTAAGTACTGAAAACCATATACTCACAAAGAAGGATCTTGTACGAGATCTTTGAGATTTATCCCACTGCGATCTTCTGCAAGATTCCTGAAGCAACTATCACTCACTAAACATGAAAGGGGGAGAGAAAAAGAAAATTAATTTTTACTTGCATTTTATTTCAGTTACTACCAACAAAATGGAATTTTAAATTAAAACTGGATCTCTGGATAGGATTTTTCCAAAGATCAATGTTAATTTCTGGGCCTAATAGATTTAGCAACAAATATTAATATTCAATAACAAGCCAATAATCTAAGTATACCACCTTTATATATATGCAACATATAAGAGTAAACACATGGGTCTAAATTTTGTTTTTACTTTTATAAGACTAAACTACCAGCACATAGTGGCAAGTCACTACTAGAAACAAAAAAAGACAAGTTGACCCCCCCAAATTATATATATATATATTTTTAAAGATTTTCTTTATTTATTTGACAGAGAGAGATCTCAAGTAGGCAGAGAGGCAGGCAGAGAGCGAGAAAGAAGCAGGCTCCCTGCTGAGCAGTGAGCCCGATGTGGGGCTCCATCCCAGGACCCTGAGACCACGACCTGAGCCGAAGGCAAAGGCTTTAACCCATTGAGCCACCCAGGCACCCCCCAAATTATATTTAAAAGATATTAGACAGCAATGTGACAATAAGAATAAACTAGGAGAAAGTGCTATCTGTTCTTAGGTAAGCTGAGCCTCCTATTATTTTCATTTCCAAGAGAATTTGCCACTTCAAGCTATGAGTCAGAAAGAGGGACACTACTAGAGAAAAGAAGAACCAGCATAGTTCTTGATGGTTCACAGGCTGGCATGACACACTGAAATCCTATAGAACTCTAAGAAATTCTATGAAATCCTATGAAAGCCATTTTTTTTGCTGGAAGATCTGCTGAGGGCTAGGACAGCACAAGAGAGTTTGGAATGAGAAAGAAAAAATGGGCAGAGGGCAAATAATGTTTTCTATAGAGCTATGGTGATTAGAAGTCAAAGTCACACGACAACAGGCAGAGCCTAATACTTGCAGTGTATAACTTCAGGAGATTGTCCCTAAAAAAAATCCGCTCTCAACCAAAAGCAAAGGGGGGCAGGAGGGGTGGGTAAAGGGGGCAAAACTAAAAAGGTATAAAAAAATTCTCACAATTTCACAGTACCTAAAAACAAAGTCACATCAGAAGTACCTGCGACACAAGTTTTACCCATAAAGACATTTAAGACCAGATGTAGACTAAGGATATCTAAAGCTTTCACTCTAACTACCTAGTTCAATTTGAAGTTGAATTAAAGAGTTGGCACTTAACATTTAATAACATTTATATCAATTTCTTTGATCCTACAATAAATAGTATTTGGTATATGACAAAAATTACTACAAAGTATAGAAAAGGACCCAAAATGTGACCAATAAGCAAGAGAAAAATTCCCTATTTTTATATATATGTGTGTGTATGTATATATACCATATACATACACAAACATCCATATATATACACACAGACGTATATATGCATAGATAGGTACTGACCCACAGATGATACAGAATCAGAAGACAAGAACTTTATGAAAATTTAAACTTTCAAAAAATTTATTTAGCATAACTTGGAGATACAGAAAAATGTTCACAGTAGATGAAAGAAGGGAAATTTCAGCAAAGAATTAAAAGCTATGAAAAAGAATCAAATAGTAATTTTAGAAATGAAAAATACAGTATCTGAAAATAAGAAATCGGTGGATCAGTTTTGCAGCTGACTAAACACAAAAACATAGGATTTGTGATCTTGAAGAGATCAACAGAAAACATCCAAACTGAAGCAAAGAGGAAAAAAAATAAGTGAAAAGAACAGAGCAAAAGAAACATGGGAATCAAACAGCTCAATGTAACTGTAGTTGAGGAGAGAATGGGGCAAAAGCAGTATTTTCAGAACACCTGAGAATATTCCAAAACTGATTCATTGCACTAATTCACTGACTCAGGGAGTATAACCAACCCCACACCAGAAAAAGTAAAATAAAACAACACCAGCAGCCAAAGTGCTGAAAATAAAAGATGTTAAGAAAATGGTAATAAAAAGATGGTAAGAAAATCTTAAAAACAACCAGAAAGAGAAAAAGGACACATCATTGTCAAAGGAAAAACAGTAAAATTGACAGCTGAGTATGCAACATAAACAATGGAATCCAGAAAACATGGAAAGCTTTGATTAATATGCTAAGGGAAAACTGGAAATCTTGGTCTAGACCTTGATAAAATATCACCCCAAAATTAAAGACAAAATAAAAGCTTTACTTATATGGTATTTTTGTATTTATTAGCATTAATATTAAATGATGAGTTGTTTTCTATTTCAATTTAACAGTTTAATTCTATGTATCTTAAAGAGTCATTCCCAACCTGCATATAGAACAAGAAGAATATGGCATTCACTTTATTCCTTTCAAAGATCCACTACCTAGTATTTTTTTTCCCACAACCTAGTATTTTATTTGGATTTTATATTCCCTTTTTTTATAGAGGCCCTCAAAATTATAAATCTGGATCTCTCTCTGAAAACAATAATACATACAAACGATGATGCTATAAAAACATTTGAAGTTGAAAAAACTGGATTCCTTTTTATTAGTTCCCAAAAGATACTTTCCATGTTTTACTATTTTTGCAATGAGTGGAATAATTTTAATTAATATATAATTTTCATTCCATATTTAGCAGACACTCATCTCAACCTGTTGATTTAAGACAAATTTCCTGCTTTTTATAATTTTAATACAAATTCTCTTTATTACACCACTTTCTGAATAGGGCCAAAAAGAAAAACTAAAATGTTGGCACACTGTAAGAAAAGTTGGTTTCCTGCTGAGCTTAACTAAAATTGAAGCTGTAATATATCATAAAATTTGTTCTCAAAAGTTTCTTGCCCACTTTGGCAAATATGAGACCTTAGTTATAAACTTCAAGAGCCTGAAAGTTTTGGAGGCTTAATTAAAATGGAATAAACCTTTGTTCCTTTAAAGGCTTGCTAGTCAGCTATCTGCGAAATGAGTTTTGCCAAAGAAGGCACTTTTCTAAAATTCATGTTCCATCCAACTTCTAAGTTAAAAACAAAGCAAGAAACTGAAATAGTCTCTTAACAAAAATTCTAAAACTTTAGCTGCCTAACAATATGTTACAGTTAAAGCTTTTTTTTCCACCAACACAAACAGGTTTTCTTTTTGAATTATAAATAAGAATATGGCAATTTTTAAGAAGTAAACATAATCATTTTTTCGTATGTAAGCACATTAAAATCAATCCGTTTGGGTCACCATATTTTACTGTTTTTCACAACAACACCACCACCCCCAGTGTATGATGACTACAGGAACTACAATGTTCTTCACTCCACTAATAAAAAGTTGTAAACATGTCATCACAAAAGTCAAACAAAATGGGAGAAGGTACAATGGAAATAGAAATTACAATAGAAATTATGGTATTAACATGAAAATTATAATCTTTACTTCAGTCTATTTTATACTGATATAATTAACTTGAAAGAACACAGAGGAAAATTATAAATATTAGTAAGCTGAACTCTTTACCAGAGCTCCTATCCAACCAAATGCATTTTTTCCTGTAAATATTCATCATTTGGATCTATAATCAAAACAATAATTGAAACTCATTATATGTTAAGCATTTCATATTTATTTTCTCACTTAATCTTACCATCCAATGATGATAGGATAGGCTTATCCTTATCCTATCCCAATCATTATTCAATGACAAGTCTATCTGTGTCACCATTTTACAGATGAAGATTCTAAAGCATGGGGAGATTAACATCTTTCTATGGATCATATAGCTAATAAATAGCAATACTGGGAAAATCTACAAGCTGTAACTCCAGGGGTTGTACTCTTAACCACTATACTATATAGACCATAGTTCTCGGCAATCACTCCTATATTCTGAATTCTCCTACATTTCCATAACTTCAAACCACATAAAAGTTATACAATTAAAATTCATTAAGACAGTAAATTCTAACTCAAAACATTATTAAAGAATTACAGTTTTTAAAGTGGAATTAAACATTACAGATCTTCTAGTTAAGTGGTTAGTTATATTTCAGAGCAATGACATTCCTTTCCCCCTTTCACCTAAAGAGTTGTTTTTATTCGTTTATATATTAGATTGCTTTAAAATTATATTTGCAAAAGTTTACCAAAGAAATTCTTACAGAAGGTGAAACACACAGACATACACACACCTCAAAACAGTATTAAGTCCACTCATCATTACATTATAGACAAGAATCCCATTTCACCTATGGTCAGCATTCGAACTCATTATATACTTAGAAATATTTGTAAAATGGATCCATAAAGGGTTCTTAGCTAATCATAAACACCCTTTTTTGGTATATATTCGTCTTTTTTTCTGGTCCTCAATCAAAGTAATTGCTGACATTCATTATGTGCTAACAATTTATGTTCATTGTCCCACTTACATGCATTATGTATAATCAATATGATTTTTATTAAAATCTTTATACTGTATATTCTAAGTCCTACTATTATGGATTATTCAATTTGATTATTTGGAAATATAGTACGAAAGAACCAGCCATCTCTTTCATTTAGGATGACATTTACATTCTTTTTTTTTTATTTTAAAGATTTTATTTATTTGACAGAGAGAGAGATCACAAGTAGACAAAGAGGCAGGTAGAGAGAGAGGGGGAAGCAGGCTTGACGCTAAGTAGAGAGCCCAACATGGGGCTTGATCCCAAGAACCTGAAATCATGACCTGAGCCGAAGACAGAGGCTTAACCCACTGAGCCCCCCTTGTGCCCCAGGATGACATTTATATTCTATCTTGCTCTGGTCAGGAAGGATTTTCCTGTAACAAAAGAATTGCTAGCCTCAAAAATTCATGTTTAAAATACACCATGGTAGGAATTTAGTATTTAACTGATTCTATTATCCATATTTATGAACATGAGAATAAGGCACCATTTGAAAATTGCCAGGATAACAATAAAAACAGATCCAATTTAAAATTCATTCATTCAGTAGTTTCAAAACATCCA